TGGGCAGCTGTCCAGCGCGCCAGGTGGTGAGCGGCCGCTCTTGGCCACGTGCGGGGCACCCACAGGAGTGTCGGTCACCGAGGCTGCGGGTCGGCCCGCCTGCTTTGGGCAGCGGGTTTGAGCTGTCTGACTCGGGCTGGACAGATGTGAACCCGGGGTGGACGGGTGTAGCCTGCGAAGGCCAGGCGGGAAATACTTGAGGGTCTGCAGGTCGCACGGGCCCGGCTGCAGTGCTGGCCTGACGTGACGAACGTGGAGGCGAAGGGCACGGTTCGTTCCAGTAAACATTATTTACAGAAACAGGCCCTGGCCGGCATTGGCCCAGGCCTGCAGCTTGCTGGCCCCTGCTCCAGTGACACCATTCAAGACCATGAAAACACTCTGCCCTTCCTCTTCCGGCCTGAACGAAAGGTGGACGTCTGACTTGCGGGAACTGGGGGGCGACGCTCACCAAGGCCCCTGCTCGTCGCCCGCCCCCACTGGCCCCGTGCCGCCGCTCGGGCTGTGCGCCAGCAGGCCGCCTGGTCATGCCAAGGGCCTGCCCCGCGCCCTCACACGCCCCCAGGCCCACTGGCCTCGGCCTGGCGTCCGCCTGGGGAAGAGCGCTGGGCACCCGAGCCAGGCAGAGGGCGAGGGTGGCGAGGGGCCAGCAGGAGCAGGGGAGCACCAGGGTGTCAGGGAGGCCTTCGGGCAGGGGAGTCTGCCGAGGCCGGGCTGCAGGAGCCCTCGCGTCCACCCCGACCTCGGCTCGACTCTTACTAAACTGGCCGCCGGTCGCCAACCTTCTAAAGCGTTTCCACATAGCCATTTGTCCAGGAATTAAGGGGAGGGGACAGCATCGAAGCGACCGGAAACTGCCTGCACTTCCTCTACGAGACGCTCTGCGCCTCGGTCCACCCTTGGCTGGGAGTGGCCAGTCGCATCAGACTCGGGTGCCGCTCCCCAGGCTGGAAGCTTCGGCCTCCTGCCCTGCGCCCTCTGCTGATGGGCTGCGGCCCCCTCCGCGCTCGGCCCGCCCGGCCAGTGCCAGGGTCGCTCCTCTGGCCCGGGGTGGCCTGGCCGCCCGAGGCCAGAAGCCCAGCACGATGGGGCCGGCCCGGCCTGGCACCCCGAGCCCTGAGCTCCTGGAGTGTGCCGCGTGTGCGCTGCGCGAGGCTCCCAACGCAGGGGGCTGCTTCACCCCCCTCTCGGGGCGGGCCCCCGGCGTGGGGCTGTGGCTGCCACACCGTTGCTGGTGACCGCAGGCCAGGCATTTGGGGCTGAGTCCCACGTCTGCGCCCATCTCATCCTACGGAGCCCGTGGAGGCGGCCATGACCCCACCGCCCCTCGCGCTGTGTATTTTGTACAAGATCCCACAGAGGGTCCCAGAGGAGAGACACAAACGGGGCCTGCGTGGCCCCCCAATCGCAGGGCTTCGCTTCCCGGGCCCCACTTCCCTACCTGTGAAGCCAGGGGCCCGGGCGCGAGTGTCAAAGCCCCCTCGCTCCCTCTGCCCGCTCCGGGCCACAGCGGCTGCCGCGCAGAGCTCAGAACTCCCTGAGGCGGGCGCTCGGGGCACCTGGGCACCGTGTCACCGCTCCGGGACACAGGGCTTCCCGGAAGAGGGGAGGCACCTTATGAAGTGCTTGGTTGTTCAGGAACAAAACAAACTCTCATCCAAATAAGCAGCTTTCTTGCTTTTAGGGAGAAAAATGGCGCAATCGCGTATACATTTATATGGTAACCGCTGGGGCCGAACTGGCCATTCAGAGCCGGCGGGACAAGGGAGGCCGTGAGGCCGCCAGGCCCTGTGGGCCGGCGCGCTCCTTTGCTTGCTGCGCTCTTCTCGCTGATGCAGTCCCTTTGCAGAACGGCCTTCAAGTGACCAGCACTGCGTGGGAGGAGGGTCAGCGCCACGTGGGGGCTGGCAAGTGGGCTCTGTCTGCGGGCCCCCACCTCTGTGGGGAGGGACCAGTGCGTGGGGGCCTGGCGCCCACTCGTGCAGACCTCCACTCTCAGGCTAAGGGGGGGCTAAGAAATAAGGTGGCGAGCTCGGGGTGTTTGGGGTAGACGCAATACCAAAGCCATCCAATCGGCCTCAGCCCCCTTACCTGGGTGGGTGCTTCCTAGTCCTTGCTCCCCCTGCGCCCCGCCCCCGAGCGGCATCGACGTAGGAAAGCGAATGCTTTTATTGCGGCGGCACGATACACGACACACGGGCGGTTCCTGCGTCAAAGGTGCCAAAGCCCCTCGCCCCGCCGCCAGCCAGCGCGTCCCTCCCTGGCGGTGCCTGATGGGGGCGTCCCCTGAGGAGGATTCCCTAGGGACGTGGAGGTGCTGGTCTTCAGAAACAACGTATAGCACCCTGCCCCCGCCGAGAGCCCCGCCCCCGCCGAGAGCCCGGCTCCCTGGCTCCCACCCCCACTGGCCGCTGCCGGCTGTGGGCGCTCCCAGACCGCCGGCCTCCCTCGGCCTTTCACACCGACTCACCGCCATACAGCCAGGACCACCGCGGCTCGCAGGCCAGGAGTGTGCCCCCGCTGGGCGCATGAGCCTCG